TCAAAGGTCGAACCAAAGAGAATCGGCACGGCCAATGTTCAGACTGTGTCCCCGAGGGGCATCTTGCTGAGTGCCAACTACGTCATCCGATCTATTGCCTTAGAGTCGTAGATCACAGTAAATATCACACATGCGTGTCAAAACAGGAGGGGCACCCCCAAAACGGCTTTCGGTGTTCTTTTTGGTTCCCCCCAAAACATCGAACCTGCAAAGGGTAGCCTCAACCCAGACACTCACATTTTAGGGGCGACATCAAAAAACACGGGTGGACGCCCATTGAGGTGGCTCGTTGAAATTCATAGCTGAGGCGCATCAAGTAGTCCGGCAGAGCTGCGATGGCGTCATACTCCGTGCGGCACATGGGGCAGGTGGCGATGGCTTGGTTGGATCGCTTCCAGTCGCTAGCGCACTTCACGCACATCTGGACGTGCTGACACGAGCGCCTGCGAGGCGTTCGAAAAGCAAAAAGTCATCGTTTGGAGACTTCCTTCCACAGGCAAACGTGGAGTTTCTCAAAGGAGTCCCTAAATGGTTGATGTGTCCTCTACCGACCAAAAGGGGGTCCGACAGTTTGAAAAGAAAGTGAATAGAACCACTGAAACCTGCAAAACACATGTTCAAGCAAAGTGACCAAAAAAAGAAAGCCTATGACATATGAGCGCAGGTGTCGTGGTGCTTCTCTTGGTTCCCAGCACCCGTCAGGGCTTGAAAAGGAAAAGAGGAAACCACTCATGGGCGGTTCCTGTTTTAAGACCAACGCTGAAAATGCGTCGAAATGATGCGCCTCTTTTCCACCCCACTGTTTGGTTGCCTGCAACTAACAACAAGTGTTTCGGATTCTGGTCTGTACTAATATAAAATGAAGCCATTTGAGGGTCCAGTTTGGGGTCCGTCTCAAGAGCAAAGCCGAAGCAAGACTAACTATTTGGAGCGTACTTTTCACGCATTCCCACATGGATCCAAAAGGAGTCTTTGCCCTCGGTTAGAGTCACAATCGACACTTGGTGCTTGATTTCGAGGTCTGCAACCTTGTGAAGCATTTGAAGTGCAGCTGCACTGGCTGGGACTGCTGCTTTAAAACAAAACTCAGCTCCGCTTCGCCTTGTGTTCAGGAGGAGCATGGCCGGTGCAATACCCTTAGACCCGAGCTTCACAAAGGTCTCCAGGCACACATTGCAGGTCGCCCTGGAGTTGACCTAAGCACCCAAGAGCCCGGCTCAATCAGAGCTGGGCAGTGGGGGTACCCGCCTTGGGGTGAAGGGAAACCAAGAAAAAAAACGCACATGTTGCCGGTGGCCAAGGGTGTTGGTGATTTTTGGAACATACCCCCTTCTGTCATGGAGTGGGATTCCCACTGACTTTGTCGCAAAGGGCATTCCATACCAATGGGAGAGTGGACCAGCCTTTTCACCAGGTTGCCGTCTGTCCTTCGGCCCAAAAGCGTCCCGACAGTGCGGTGGGGCGGGATGGCATGTGACTGTGGCAACCCGCCGCACATCCCCGAAACACGCCTGAGGCCAGAAGGACCTATGTTTCTTTTGTCCAAATAGCTGTATGGCTACCTTGCTTGGCTAAACATCAAACAAGTCGTTTGCGAACGTCCCCAAACAAAGAGCAAACGTGCGGCAGGGAGGTATTCTCAAAAAGCACCAAGGCTAAGTGACACAGTCAGAAATTCCCGAAGCTCCACTAACACGTGAGTCGTAACCAAACTCCAAAACCTTGAGCCTTGCACGATCTCACACAACCCATGTAGAAATAATAGCAACATGTTGGCTGATTTGGAGGGCCAACAAGGGCAGTTATTGCATACATAGTGCTTAGGGATTTTGTTCTTCCCCAGGGGAATTCGTGCTGGTTCCTTTAACTTTCAGCTCTATGTCCCCGGCGTCCCCGGACTCAAAATGATTGCGCCATTGCGGAGCCGACTTCCCCTGGAGTCAAAGAACAAAAAAAAGAAAGGCTCACCAGCATCTGTCATTCATCTTCCTGCTTGGTTCAAGAACTGTTGACCTCCATGGAAACAAACCATGGCCCATGGAACTAGCAAAACCGAGCTGCCCGCTCGCACCTGTGCCCAGGCATGTCCTTCTGCGGCATCTCCTCGTCAGCGAAGGTGAGTCGGAAAACCGAAAAGGGCTCAGAGTTGACTCACATGAGATATGGCCATGGGTCGCCCGTACCCTTAGTGAACATCCCAATCCCCACTAAAATAGGTTCTAAAATTGCACCTACCCCAACATGGAACCATTGATTTTGACCCACAGCCATATAGCCCGATGGGCCCAAGACCAATCTGGAGAATCGAGGGACTAGTAGTTCACAAATGGGTACGTGGGTGGGTGTCGCTTTTGGTTTTCCTTTGAAACCTCCAAAAAAAAGTATCCTCAAACACACACACACACACACACAGGCACACAGACTCACAGACTCACAGGCACACAGGCACAGAGACACGCAGACACACAGACAAACAGACACACAGACACGCAGACACACTGACACACTGACACACAGACACACACACAGACACGCAGGCAGACACGCAGGCAGACACGCAGGCAGACACGCAGGCAGACACGCAGGCAGACACGCAGGCAGACACGCAGGCAGACACGCAGGCAGACACGCAGACAGACACGCAGACAGACACGCAGGCAGACACGCAGGCAGACACGCAGGCAGACACGCAGGCAGACACGCAGGCAGACACGCAGGCAGACACGCAGGCAGACACGCAGGCAGACACGCAGGCAGACACGCAGGCAGACACGCAGGCAGACACGCAGACAGACACGCAGGCAGACACGCAGGCAGACACGCAGGCAGGCACGCAGACAGGCACGCAGGCAGACACGCAGGCAGACACGCAGGCAGGCACGCAGACAGGCACGCAGACACGCACGCAGACAGGCACGCAGACACGCAGGCAGACACGCAGACAGACACGCAGGCAGACACGCAGACAGACACGCAGACAGACACGCAGACAGACACGCAGACAGACACGCAGACAGACACGCAGACAGATACGCAGACAGACACGCAGACAGACACGCAGACAGACACGCAGACAGACACGCAGACAGACGCGCAGACAGACACGCAGACAGACACGCAGACAGACACGCAGAGACGCAGAGACGCAGAGACGCGGAGACGCAGAGACGCAGAGACACAGAGACACAGAGACACAGAGTCACAGAGACACAGAGACACAGAGACACAGAGACACAGAGACACGGAGACACAGAGACACAGAGACACAGAGACACGGAGACGCAGAGACAACAGACACACAGACACATAGAGACACACACACACACACGCACATGCACACACGCACACACGCCCACACGCACACACGCACACACGCAACACACACACACACACAAAGAAATGCCAGCTGTTAGCATCTACGTCACTGCCCAATTGAACTGCTGAGACGCAAGCGAAGTCAGATGATCGCAAGTTTATCAGTGACACCCAAAAGGCAAAGTTTTCGCTGTCTATTGGGTTTCCTTCCATGACCCGATCGGAATGCAACGCCAACGGGAACCCTATTGGAGGATCCTTCATGAGCTGCCAATTCTACCAGGATCACTTGAGGGTGACTTTGGCCATTGGGATACATGAAACCGTATGATGCATGAGTACTCCGATATACCTAGTACCGCCTTCCTACCAACTGGTGCAGGATTTTCTGCCTCAGTATTTTGTGGGTCAGGGAAACGAGCGGGAAACAAAACCCGAAACAAGGTTTGGAGCAGTGGTGCAGCTCTATTTCTTTTCACATCGCGGTGTTCAACATTTATTTGGGCAAATGTTTGGTCCAGTTCTCCTTAAGGGGTGATACATTTCAAGGGGAAATCTGGGGAAACTTGAGGGGAGAAGCCCTTGTGGCATTTTGGCTTGTTGAACAAGGATTTTTTTCGGTGACTTTGATTCCCCCCTTTGTCAGTAGCTCTTAGCTCACTTGCCCAAGAGACCTAGACATGAAAGGTTAACCTTTTGGGAGCCTTGACGAAACATTTGTCCAAATCTTGGAACCCCAAAAGGTTAGATCCGATCGATTCGCCTTGGGCTTTTCTGAGGCAAACCTCAAAATCGGGACCCCGGTGACCCTCAGACGTCCAAATGGGTTTGTCTCAAAATAGGGAACCCCATCAAGTTGGTTGTTTTCCTGTTGGTTTCATTTCCAAAAAGCCCAAAACAGAGTAAGTACCCTCCAAAACAGACGAGCCACCCAACTTGTGGGTTTCAGTTGCCTGGGCTTCTTTTGAGGCTTCCACCTTTGTGGGGTTGGCTAAAGGGAACCAAAAGTTGAAACCCGCATTTATTTATATATATTTTTATTTTTTTTGGGGGGGGGCAAATGGCTGGTCCCAGTATAAACCGGGGTTCATTCCCAACATCCACTCCGCCCTTGGCGGCTTGTGGCAATGGGGGTTTACGCCAAATTTGGCGCTCCTCCATGCAGTGGGCGCAGATCTCCAGCGCATAGGGACATGCCAAGGCGTGTGGCTCCAGATCCCGGCGGAGCCCCTTCCAGTCGCAGCCACCGTTCTCGCAGCTCACCTCACGAGTCTTGCCCCGCAACGATTCACCCGGTTGGTGGGTCGAGTTGGTTGGTTTGAGTTGGTTGGATTGAGTTGGTTGGATTGGTTGGTTCGTTGTTCAGGGAAACCAAAACCAGCACGTTCTTTGCGGTTGATACTACAAACGCAAATGCAAAAACACAAGTTGGTTGGGACATGCTCCCAAGAAGAAACGATAGTAAATCGTTCTTGGTTGGCTGTTGTTACAGGGAACCCAAACCAACCAGCACAAGAACAGGAAACAAACCAATGCTGTCACAACCTAAAACTCAAAAAAGAGGTTGACAAAAGGAAGCAACCCACTTAGGCAGCTGGGGCACCCACGATGCCGGGCACTGCTCGGAGCAGTGAAAGCTGAAATCTTTCCTGGGGTGCAAAGGAACGTGGCTCAGAAAATGTGTCTTCTTTATGGTGGGGGCGGGACAAAACCTATAAACGTTTGAGAGGGCCACCCTTTTGGGGGTCCCCTGCTCTTCACGTACTAGCGATCACTGTTGAGGAAGAGGCAGGTCCCAAAACCCATGGCAAGAATCAAAAGCGCAAACGCAGCTATTCATGGTTGGGACTGTCCGTAGCCTTCGCTTGGCTCACTTAAACTTGAGCAACCGAAACGTGATGTTTAAAATGGCTGCAAACGGCAATTCAAGCTGCCAAAGCAGGCGAGCAGAAACAATCTAGGCAAAAAGGGGTGGTATGGGGTTGTCCCTAGGTTCTGCCCAAAAAGCCGGGCGGTGGCCGAGGGTCTGCTTCAGCACCAGCTGACACCGCTCACAGGTGACGTCCCGAAGCTCACATTCCCACCCTCGGTTTCGGGACATGAGAGGCTTGGGACCCCGGCTGTGGATGGACGAAATTCCCACTTCGCCACCTAAAACACCCTGATTCCATTCTCCTGCAAATGCGAACCAACATGGTTTCAACCATGGTTTCCAAGTGGTGCGAAATAGATTTCGTCCATCCACCATAAGGGGGCCTGTGCAGGTGGGCGGGGGGGGGGGGGGGAACCCTGGATAAGTGCAGGATAAGCCAAGGATAAGTCGTTGCCCCCTCTGCATAGCCCCTTGGTCCATGAGACAAAGAGGTTAAGGCCTCAATCGAAACCAACTGAAGCATTTACGGGACAAGATTGTTCCTCTGGAGGAAGCTTGCGATCAAACGGACACTTATTCTATTCCCTGCTAGAATTCAACGTCTACATATATTTCACTTAGTCGTTGACATTCGAGTTTCCCAAATCTGCTCGGCCAGGGTTTGTCTCAGAAACGGGATACGGAACCCACAAATCAGAAGCCTTTTTTAGATACCCTTTAAACAAGACAAAACCACATTTGCCACAAAACAAAACAACGAGTTCCACAAAGCATGATCATGCCCCACAAAGAAACGGCCATGTCCCACATCAAAGCCCCTGAAACATATCCCAAACTCCAACAAGAACGCATAGCATGCCATGGCACGGGCATGACCCTCGTGATCCTCAGCGTTCACATGCTGCTTGCACTGCTTGCACTGGACCTTGCGCTTCGGGCAGTTCTTCTTCTTGTGCACTTTCAGGCTCTTGTGCACGGTCTGCAAGCCTTTCACCAAAACAGATGCTTGGGTCCCAACCAAGTCGTTACACGCTAGCATGGAGCCCCAAAAACAGCCATTTGTAGAGGAATCTTTGGGAGGCCTTTTGGGGCAACCTGCGTCAAGGTCAGGAGCTTTGGGGTAAGGGGAATCACAGGGATGCCCTCGTTTCACACCCCAAATCGCGAAATCGTTGGGAGCATGAACAAAACCGTCGAACAAGGCCCTCTGACCGTCCCTGGACAAAATCTTCGTGGTGGCACAGGCGTTCCAAGCGGCATAACGGGCATATGGAAGATACAGGTTCCGGCTCCACAGCTGGGCTGTGCTGCTTTACAGCTTCAGTTTGAGCTCCTTGAGGAGCTTGTCGGGAGGCAGCTGCTGGAGCTGCTCCTGAAGCAGCTGACGCGGCGGCTGGAGCTGCTCGAGCCGCTGCTTGGGCTGCTTGGGCTGCTTGGGCTGCTTGGGCTGCTTGGGCTTGGGCTGCATGGAAGTGAGCGAATTCCGCATTCATAGCCTCGATGATCGGATTCATCAATTTCTGGAACTCCTCCGATTCCTTCTGGGCCATCCTGGCAGCATCCGCCTGCCCCACGTGCGCGCTGCGGACCGAGTACAGCGCCTGCTGCGCCAGCGACCTGACTGCTGGGTCGGCCGTGTGAGGGCAACGAGGGCAATCGCCGAGGAGCGGAGGGATCTCAGCCGCAATCGACACGGCTTGCCTCGGCACTCACTTGGGAGCCCATCGAAGGGAAATTCCATGGCACCTCAAACATGGGGTACGGAATTCCGAACATGTGGGGGCCCTTTTGAAGGGTGTCCTGTTTGAGGTTGGTTTCATGTTGCACAAAAGAAAGGCCAAAGGTCTGATTTTCACACAGAATGAGAGACACGCAGGGAAAAGCGAATCGGGGCCCCTCTTTCAGACTCGCCCAGTGCCAGGCAAATTGACATGGGGCAATAAGAGGTTTGTGCGGCAAATGTTGAGTCCCCAAGTCCTCGCCGCATGCACTGCGCAATTTGTATGGCCATGGTTGCCCTGGCATACTAAATATGAGAAGCACACAAAACCAATTGACTTTGGGCATTTGCTTCTAGTAGATGGATATAAAGGCTTACAAAGGCCTTTCAATAACCACCATACGACCTGGTAGACCCCCCTACAATGGCAAACGGGAATCGGCCCTTTTGGCCGCTCTTCATGCGTGTCCTTTTCCAGGGGACCCCCTCGAACTTGTACTGTTTTCCCTTTACTTTCCCTGCACCACCCCAAGAAAAGTGTTCCCCCCCCCAAAAAAAAAAAAAAAAAAAAACGTTGTTGTTTTACCCCTGTTGTGTTTGGTTGCCCTTTGAACAACCTCAAAAACGGGGTACGCCTCCCCCCCAAAAAAAAAGAAAAGAAAGAGAAAGACCACCAAATCACATTGTTGTTTATCCTTGTTTTGTTTGGTTTCCCTTTGAACCACCGCCAAAAGGGGCCCCCCTCCCCCCCCCCAAAAAAAAAAGAAGAGACAAACGTTGTTGCTTTACCCCCTGTTGTGTTTCTTTGTTAAGATGGGTACCCCCAAAAAAACAAGACACACACACACACCTTGTTGTTTAACCGAGCCAAGATGCAAGCAAAAGATGCGTATCTGCACGTTTTGCTGCAGGTCGCGGCGCAACACCTCGCAGCATCCCCGGGAGCAACCCGCAAAGTCCCCCTCCCGAAATTTCCGGAGCAAGTCGTTGAAGTCCTCGATGTCGTCCTTGCGAGAAAAAAGAAGGCACCAAACGTGGCTGAACATTTTCTTCAACCACCAAACTGTTGGAACAGCCTCCTTTTGCCCGTTGGCCCAACTTTGGAGTACGTCAAAAATACAAAAGCCTTCGAAAGATGTTTGAGATTTGGTCAACCGCACGAAACGAAACATGCCAGAGACTCAAGGCGCTGGCGTGGGTCCCCCTACCGTCCTCGTCGAGCTCATCGTAGTCCACGATCTTCGAGTCCGCTCCCGTCACAGAGAACCACTCCTCGGATGGCGAGGCCTTTTTTCCCACGCCTGGGCATGTGGATGGACCAAATCCTGCAGTTCGTTTTCTGGGTGTGTTGTTTTTGAGGGTACCCCCCACCACCGTTTTGGTGGTTTGAAAGGAAAACCAGAAGGAACACAACTGTTTTGGGGGTCCCCTGTATCAAAAAGACACACCCAACTGGCTTGTCCCGGTATGGGGGCTAAAAAATGCAGGTCAAACAATAAGGGAAGACCCGAAAATGCCTTGGTCAAAACACCTGTTGACTTGTTGTTGCTACTGGCAATGGATCCCTTGAAAGCGAACTGCATCCGATCGGCATGGCTTTCGAAGACTCTGGGGACCTGTTGGACTCAAGCAAACCAGCTGCACGCTGGCTCCTCGTTCCCGCCTTTCTCCCATGCCCAGATCAACCCTTTCATTTCCAGAGCATCTTGGTTCAGGAAAAGAGCCTTGACGCATGTTTGTGGAAAATATAGGGCTTTAGGGCCACTTGTGTGACACCAAGGGAATGCCCCCAACGTGGCAAAGTAGTCACAGGAATGAAGCATGTTAGTATTAGTATCACAGAAAGGACTATTTTTCACAACCATGCTGTGGATTGGCAAAAAGTCCGGGCAGAACTCGTTTGCTGAAGTAGTCCCCAAACCATCAAGTTTAAGATAGCTTCTTTACAAAAAAGTATGGGCAGAATGCAAAGGGGGTTGCCCACAAGAGGCCCTGATTTTTTGAAGCTGTTTTGGGGGGTCGCTTTAATGTCCAATTTGTTTGGGGGCTTGGGAATCTGAGAGCCAAACAGGGCAATACGAAAGCTAGAATTGGCAACACTAAATTAACTAGTATCGCAAATAGAATTGGCAATAATAATCAATTAAGTGCGGAAAATCTGAGAGTAAGTCGTGGGCAATACCATATCAATCAGAACAGGCAATAATAAATTTAGCGCGGCGAATCTGAGAGGTAGTCTTGGCAATGCTAAATTAGAATTGGCAATACTATATTGAGTACGGGCAATCTGAGAGTACGACTGGGCATTACTGAATATGGTATCGGCACTACTAAATTCAGCACAGCGAATCTGAGAGTAAGCTAGTCTACTGGAAATCTGGGAGTAAGGCTTGGCAATACTAAATTTAGAATTGGCAATACTGAAGTAAGTACTCGCAAGCTGGTTTTCCACTAGGTGCCTGGTTCCACTGTTTGGGAGGGGGGGTTAGGATTAAAGCAGACCCAACATGATCTGTTGAGTGTGTTCCAACGCCCTACTTAAACCACGCCAATGCAAAGGGAACCTTGCGCTGCCTCTTAGTGTCCCATGTGCTTGGCCAGGGCCGGGCAAAAGCGAGCGGCACATCGCCTGAGTCCGGCACCCGGATGGATGTGGCCACCTTGGCCCGAAACTCCATCACCCTCTCCAGCTGGCCAGATGCTGCATGCTGGCTCTCCTCAGACGTGCACAAGATGCATATGTTGCCGCGTTCTCGTCCGAGGCTACGATAAGTTGAACGTGAGTTCACACGACCAGTTCATAGGCGACAGCCAGACCTTTGGGTCAAAAAGTGCTGTATTTGGGAACCCCCAAAACTGTTCCCTTCTCGACGACCCATACAATGCGAGGATAAAAGCTGCGCCTACAAGCCTTTCCCGATAGAATCCTGCAAGTCAAAGCCGAAGTAGTTCAAAATTAAAAGCGGGTGATAGTCTGTCATTGCACTCCTGCCACACAAAACTGAGGTGGAAATTCTATCTGTGGGTGTTCGCTCTGGCAGGGGGAGTTGTTGCAAACCAGCACTTCAAAAGCGGGCCCCACCGTGTCTCAGGGGACCTGTTCAATGGGCTCCAATCAACTGGGAAACCCCTTGAACCCAGAAAGAGTTGTCAAACTTGATGGCAGGCCCTTCCAAGTCGACTTCCGCTGGAAGTCCAAGTTTCATCTATGGGGCCCAAGGGCAACTGGAAGCCTGTCAGAAGGCGCCTTAGGAATCTTCTGGGTGTGTGAGTTGGTGGGAATAATATGTCTTTTTTTTTTTGTGGGGTGGTTTTGAAGGGCCACCAAAAGGAAAACCATGATGTTTGACGTCCAAATTCCGATTTTGACACATACCCAGTAGATGAGTCCAATCCACCAGTTCCCTAGGCCGTGGCCAGCCGTTGTCGCTGCGCATGGGTGCGCACTTCCACGTTGCATGTGGAAGCCAAGGTGTCCTATGTTTGCTCTTGAGCTCTTTCCGATCTGAATCCGACCAAAAGAAATCACTTCTTCTTTGGTACTCGTAGGGTGATCACATCTACCTGTTTTGAAGCCATGCTTGCACCGGTTCCAGCTTGCACCAAAGTGCAGTGATGGGTGTAGCATCCGAGAACCATTTGTGTCAGTACCGCCGATTTCGGGTCACCCGAATGTCCTCCCTAAACAATAAGCTACCAGCAATCTTGTCAGTTGATCCACTCCAGATGTCAGCCTTTCACTCGCCTTGCCAAGCGCGGCAGATCTCGGAGAGGGGAAGTGCCTTTTCAGGTTAGCCGTCAGTCAAACCTCAAGGAGGCCACATTTTTAAGCTTCGGTCTCCATATATCTTGTATTATCTTTTCGGTTCAAAAAAAATAAAACGAGAAAACACCTCGGGGAGAAAGAAAAACAAAAAACGAAAACACCTCAGACTCAGCCGCTCCTCCCAGGGCTCCTCTTTCGCCTCGCCGAGCCACGGCTTTCCACTCCTTCTCCAGCTTCCGCCAGGCCTTCTCTGCCAAAGGACCAGGAATGCCCTCCTCGGCTCTCGGAGCTCAGATCTGATGATCCGAGGAAATGGGACGACTAGGTGGCCTTCTGGAAAATAGATGGTAAATGGGAAAAAACTGCATCTAAACCGGTGCCTGATACCCTCCCTCCAAGTAACATGGCACCTCACACAGGGTCCCTTAAGGAGCAAATTGATCTTCCAGGTACCCTCCAACAGGTGCTATGTTGGTGAGAGTGAGGGTAGCTGATCCGAGGAAATGGGACGACTGCCGACCATAGGTGGCCTTCTGGAAAAATGGAGTGCCCTGGTAAATGGGATAAACCCCATCTAAACCAGTGCCATCTATGTCTAACCAAACTAACCTAAAAAGGCACCTATGCTACTGACTCTCTTGGGATCGCTTCCAAGGCAAAAAGCGTCATGGATCTGAAACAAACTGTGGATGGACGAAATCCTGCACAAATTAAACCCTGGAATGATTCGATTTCCTTCAAAAGATTCCAACCAACCATGGTTTCCCATGGTTTCCAAGTAGTGCAAAATGGATTTCCTCAATCCACAGTACCTTTTTGTTGACACCTATTTGTTCTATGATCCTCAATGGCCAAGCGTCACTTCTGACCATGGCTTAAAAGCTCCCAGGTGCTCTGCCCGAGTCTACATACGCTTCGTGTTCTTGGTGTGTGCGCTATGCTGCGAATGGCTTCAAAGAGGGATCGCAGTGTGGTGCAGCTGCATCTTTCTCATGCCTCCATGTCTCAAAACATACAAGCCTCTCTAAAATGCTTGACATATCTGCGGACGTGGGCATACGCCTGTTTGAAGTCTTACATACGCAAGCAACACTCAAGGGCAGAGCGGAAGCTGCTGAAGTCACGCCTTTTCGCGCTGCACTCTCGGCTCCCAATAGGGAAGACATGCTTGCTCTGTTTCGCCCGTGTTGCGCTCTTGTGTTCTCCGGATCTGCGGATCTGCCCGTTTCTCCCCATCCACCAAGTAACCATCCACCAGCCCGCGGCTTGGAACCGGCCTAGTGCTGATGACAAGCCACGCGCTCATCGCTCGCTCACGCCTTAAAGGCGAGGCGCGGATGCACTAATCAAACCTTGTGGCAGAGGGCGTGTAGCCAGAGTTCTTAGGGCCCTTTGGATTGTGGTTGAAGCTTCTTGTAGAGTTGGTTTTTAAATATCTGGCCAGGATTCTTTGTGCATCAGCGGCTCCAAAGGAATCCCTGGCTTGGCTGAGCTTGTGCTTCTTGCAATTTGTTGCCAGGTCAAAACTAGGGATACAGTCAAGGACTTGCCGTGGCACCCTTGCAAGTAGTTGAGGTCATCCCATCTACCGACCCAAACCACGTCGCAAGCAAGAGGGCCAAATCAGAACTGAGCCCCTTGCAAGTTTGACCCAGTCCACGTTCTTGGGCAGCCCCCGCTTTGTAAGGTGCAGTCTCACCTCGCACATGCTTAACACGAGCTTTACAATCACGCAAGATGCAGTCTCAACACAAGCAAAGGTTGAGCGAGACATCTGACGGTATGCCTGTACGTGTCTGCAGGCGGTTACGAATGAAAAACAACATGCATGCTACACATGGCCAGTTGTCAAGAATGTGTTTCCCGAGTGCCTCCTAGGCATGACTCTAGTGTAGCCCCAACCAAAAACTTCCACGCCCTAGAGCCGGGCCAGCTACATAGCAGTCGGACAGCCCAGGTTTCAAACATTTGGCTTCGGGTCAAAAATGGGTACCCAACATGGCACCTTGGTAAATGGAAAGACTAGAACCTGCGTAACCCTGGCTCTTCAATTTGAGCCACACCCAGTTTTTGAAGACTGCCCGGGCTTCTTCACCCAAGAACTGCTAACGCCGCGCTAGCGCCAAGCTGGCGCTCACGGGGATTTGTTTGATTCAAGTGCGGGCCTTGAAATAAGGACTAAACAAACAAAGGCCAACAGGTAATGCCAAACACCCCCTCAGCGTCGCAAATACAGCATTTCTGCCGCCTGCCATATGTAACTGCTTATTGGTCATCAACATGTCGTTTAATGACATCGTTCCCTTTGTGACATGGGAGAACCAGCTTCTTGCATTTTTGCCCTGATAGCCATGTATCAACATCAATCACGAGGGTCAATATAGGTTGATCAAATCAAAGAGCACGCGTTCTTCTGCCAGCGTCTTCGGCATACATCCACGGCACAGTCTGAAGCCAAGGTGGCACCCCAAGACTGTCTTGTCACTCTAAAGGGCATTCCCTTCGTATCACAAGTGGCAACCTATTATCTCAATTGTCTATAACTTCCACAATGAAACCCAGAACTCGAAAGGAAGCGAAGCAGCCTAGATTGGCATTTCAAGCGCAGGCCCCGAGCCCAAATGGTTCGCCGTCAGCGAACACCGGCAGAATGCAACAGCATATTGTTTGGGCCGACCAACTCCTTTGGGGGGCTGCTGCCGCATGAAAGGCAGACGCCAAAAGCGGCTGGCGTCTCAACCTCAACGCCAACTTGCAGATGAATAGCCCCGCAAACAGCGCAGGAATCAAGCGCACTGGGGCGCCCAAAAAATGTCCAAAATGCACTTGGGGAACCCCAAACCTTGCAAAAACGAGTTGTTGGCCTCAACATGCCGACTCATGGTAATTCGACTGTTTTCTCAAACAAGCTCGTGCTATGAGGCAAAGGAAACACATCTTCGACGGGCTTCCGCGATGCACAATTATTCCACCCTCGTAGGTGCTTCGCCCTGAGTAGATCCCTCCGCAAAGTTGCCACCCAGCCAAACGAGTATTTACAAAAATCAGGGACCCTCCTTGGACGGCTTCTAAAAGGGACACACAAAGGAAACCAACAATTTGCAAGTGGGTGGCACAATTCTTGTTCTGGGGGCAAGTAAAGGAGATCATGAAACCACCATGCAAACATTTTGCCATCTACTTTCAACCGAAAGGAAGGACAACGTCTTAAAAAAAGTCCACCCACATCGCGCCTCGTACTTCGTCCCGAAAGCGCCTCCATCCCTGCGTGGTGCTATATTTGGCTGGAAAGGTTGCAGCTCAGGTTCTTAGGCAATGCTCCCCAAATCGACGATTTACGTGGTCTCTCGCCATCTTTTTCTCCGACTGTGCGAGACTCTCAACGAAAATTGGATCATGGACCTGTCCTTCTGCTGTAACGGCGCTCTCAAGTGGGAGGTTCCAACAACCTTACTGGCAAACCACGCCGCTGCGTGCGCAAGCGAGCTTCATGACTATCACGCTTCCTGCCTCTCAAAGCTGGTTGCTGGGTGTTGGCCCCAAGTACTGCCCTCTGAGCGGATGCTCTGCGCACCGCCACTGCTAGTTGCGGGAAATGAAAGATTGCCTTTCGGCTCCAGGCGGTGCAACCACCTCGTGGGGGACTTCTTCCATGGCATACAAGGCTCAGCCGGAAGTCGTCTTCCGAAACCACCAGGGCCCAATTGAAATGGCCTAGCCTGCAAGGATGTCAATCCTTTTGTCTTCGGCCTCCACAGCCTGGCAAAGCCTTGCCGTGGCTTGTCCTCGCGGCTTTTGGTTTTTTGGACGCCCATCCTGGGTCCTGGCTTTCGGTGTCCATGGCCTATAGGGAGGGTGGAAGGGGGGAATGGTGGAGACACTGCTCGCCGTCACGGCGGTTGTGCTCAAGGACCCGGTGGGAGGGGCGGTTTCCGTTGGCCGCATGGCCCCGCAGGTCGCTCCATCCGTTGATCCATCCACCCGATCCTTTTGGTTTGCATTCAAAAAGGAGCCCCACCTTTTGGTTGCCTGGTGCTCGACCCACGCTAATTCTACCAACCAATGACGAAGGAGAACGCCGCTACGAGGGTGTCTTTTTGCTTGGGGAGCCCGGGGCATCCATGCATTTGAAGAGGGAGCCAAGGAGCTACCAGTTCTGTGAGAAAATCGTAGTTGTCCATTGGAAAAATGTGACGTTGATCAAAAAGTCCGATAAACATGGGACGACCGTTGGTTGGAAAACCACTTTAAACAAATGACAGCGAGTTCCCATTAGATGGGAAAAGACACCCATGGTCATTTGGCCAGGAATCTTGATCGACCTCCAAAATGGGTGTGTCTCAAAAATCGGGGGAATCCTCCAAATGCCGGGGGCCTCATCCCCTTCGTCCAATTTTTGTTTCATTGAGCCCACCGAAAGCGGCCCCGGCCCCGGCCTGCCCACGGTCCAGTTCAAGCCATGGGCACTGATGCTGGGCCCCTGCAGCACGTGGGACACGTAGGGCGTCGCATTCTGCCTGACACGGCGAATCGCGGCGGGCGGGTTTGGGAACGGATCTTTGGACTTGAGCTTCTTGGGGAAGAGTCATTTCTATTCGGCCCACAAAAAAGTTCAAGTTCTTGCAGAGGCGTCAACAGCCACCAAGCGCTGATGGCTCAACGGTAATGGGTAGTGGGTGTCTTTCCCTTCTTTCGGGTGGCTTAAGGGAAACCAAGTGCAACATAGCCATTTTGGGGGTCCGCTCTTCTCAAACAGAACACCACCCCAACAGCAACCGTGTTTTACACTGGCCCAAAAGGGATGTTCAAATCAGAAAAAGGGGAAACGTAAGGATTCTGACCCATGTGTGTCTTTTCAAACTGTTGGTCCCCTAAATAATTGGTTTCTGGTTTCCCCTTAAATCCCAACCACAAGCCTTAAATACCAACCACAAGGGATGCACCATTTGGAGAAACACTCGGTCTGAACCACAGCCTCTTTACATTTGCCCACATGTGCTTAAATGATTACCAATTTCATGAACCAGGGAAAGTGTTTGAACCATCTGCCTCGCCTGTCTGGATGCAGGGTCCTTTCCCACAATCCATCCAGGAGGATCTGGAAGCTCTCCTCATTGCGCAGGCCCAGGGTGACCGTGTACCTCGCTTCGCTCACGCCCGTTCAGGAGCGAGTCCCCTGGTTGACCGTTTGTGCGCGCCGCGCTTGGGTGTCGAAAGACTGGTTTGACAGTCGGATTCACAAGCCCCTCTCATTCAGGGCCCCCTTTACATTTCTCATGGTTTCCCCTAGTGCAAAGGGAAATGATGTATATCCAAGAAAGAACTGCAACAGCAGCCTCTATAATCTCTCTAACTTTGGTTGAGACTCTGTGTGACTCGAATCGGGAATCCCTAAGTTGGGTGGGGTCCGTTTCGTTTCCCCTCAAAACAATCAAAACAAGTGCAAGACAAGTCTGACATATATATAAAGATGTATGCCACGTGTTCAAAGGCCACAAGCCTCAAAGATCGACAACAGCTGAACTCAAAACATGCAGGCAGCGCTTGTAGTAGGTGCCGTCAAACTCCATGTCCTGTCAACATCTTGCATCCAGGGGTTCTGGATCAAGCTATTTGGGCAGTTGCCGCCTGCGGGTCATGGTGATAGCTCCCTGAATAAGAACCCTTTTGGAAGGGTTTGTTTGAATTCCCAACTGGGTATGTCTTGTCTTTTAGGGGACCCCCCAAAATTTGGTGGTTTCCTCTTGGTTTCCTTTCAAAACCAACAAAAAGGGGTTCCACCCAAAAGGACAGACCCAACCAAAGGGGTCCATGACCATCCCAATTTTTCACCATAGCGCGCCTGCGCCGCCTCCCAGTTGTCCCACGAACCGACAATGCAGTATCTCGCATGAAGCGTCTGGCCTCGACACGCCAAACTGGGACCCTGGCACTGGGAATGGCTCGGGAACCGGTTTTCAGGAGGCCAAGTGCATGGGAACCCTTTGAGAAGTGCAGTCTGGATGCCCCGGAAAGGATCCGAATCACTCTTGCAGCGGAACACGCCCTGGTAGTCCGCTAGGTTCATATAAATCCGGGAGCAATGGAGCCATGGGAAGCTCATGGCCGGCAAATGGGAAGCTCATGTCCGCGACAAACCGGACATGGGGCTCACCGCTTTTGGGCTGCGAAAAACTCCCCTTTGCGAGTCGGCTCTGAAACAGATGGGTGTGTCGATGTTTGAGGGTGACGCCCTTGTTTGGCTGTTTTAAAGGAAAACCAAAAGGACACCAGCATTTGGTGGGGTCCCTAAAACAGAACACACCCATCATCTTGAGGGCCCGGCTCGGCTTCTCTTCTTCAAGCTCCCACTTGAGGCGGTACTCGAACACACCAGACTGGCGTTGCCACGGGTAAACGACCCCCTGCGCAACGCGGCCGAAAAGTGGTGTTTCTCAAATAGTCCCTGCAAATGGCGGGTTTCAACTTGAAGGTGGGTCCACCAATTTGGGAATCCAATTTTTCGTGCATATCACCGATTTGAGCAATATACGTACATGTATGTGTGCGGATAGGGGAACCCCAAATGGCTGGCGTCCTTTTAGGACTCCCAAAACGGTGCCCTTAAGAAGAAAAAGCTCAGTAGTTAGCTGGTCTGATTCTGCTCTACCGTGGGCATGGCCCCCATGAGCCCAAAACCTGCTAGTCACGCTAGTCAAATCTAGAAAATCTTCACAGCCAGGGTGGCTGTCGCACGGGGGTGCAAGCATTTGACCCTGTGCATCTTACTTGTCAGCCCCTCGGGGCTTCGGCCATCCTCTTAGTTCTGGGTCCCGCAAACTGAACCCATTTGAGGAAATCTCAAAGTACTTCTGGGGCTAAGGAGCCCTCAACCACAATTTAGAGGCCGACGAGGATGTCACGTTTATGGCCCCGTCCTACCTGCCAAGCATTTCGGGATAAGCCGTCGGCGCTTGGCCGCTTGATATATGTTTTTACGGAATGGGGGCAAAGGCGCGAGAAAGTCTCTCCCATCACTCGTAGTGCACAGCCTCCAAAAAGGACGACTTGAACCTCTTGGGAAGGGACACATGTTTTTTGCACTTCCACGTTTGGTGGGAGGGTAACAGCGTTCAGTGCTTAACAAAACGTCTAATACATTGCTTGCATCCTTGTCCCGCGACCATCATTGATATAGGCCATTTTCTGGGCCCACGTCACAAACTTAGTAAGGCAAATGCAAAGGGGAGGCCATTCTTCAGACTTGGGTGCGATTTTTGCTGGAAAACCCTGTGGACATCATTTAGGTGGGGATTCATGTCCACCAACCGCTCTTGATGTGCCCATCGAAGCGAGCCATCGGCCCGCCGCCTCGCCCAGGCGCGTAAGGGTTATCCGGTACACGTCGCCAGCCTTTGGATGGAGCAAAAAATTAAATTTTAGCAGTTAAGGGGGAGTTCCCACTAAACCGCTGTAGAATCCAGGCTTAGAAGCCGACCCAAGATTCATTCCTTAGCCAACTCTCATAATCCCGGATCCTCCAACAAAGACAAAACACATAAAGATCCGGGAAATGATGGCCAACCTCCATTCTCTATGTGTCACCGCCTTGTGGCTGGTGGTTGAGGTTGGGAAAGAGAGACCGAAGGAAGCGAGGGAACGGTTATATGCTGGACCTCTTCAAAATCTCAGGTCCTTATCTTCTGTCGGTTGACCACCATCAGACACCAAATGAAAAGACATAAAGAAAGAAGATACAAATAACCAGATAATGCTATTACAACAAAGACAAATAGAAATATAATAAAAATAAAATAGAAATTATGGAGATGGAAAGGCTTTATTGTTGGGTCTATATTTCCAAGCTTTTATGAGACCCCACATTCCTTTCCCACTCTCTCATCTCTTGGTCACTCATTCCTCTGTCATTCCCTCCAATCGATTCCTTCGTTCATGGAATTCTGAGGTGACGAAGAGATGGAAGGGAAAGGCTGCAAACGGTGGAATCTCAGAGACTCATCCATTGACCGCCAAGAAGCGAATTCTCTGGTCAGCTGTTAGCTCGTGAATTCTTAGCCACAATGCAATGTCAAGGTTTTTATTAATTACGGAAATGATAGGAAAGGAACGGAAAAAGAATCCTCAATCTAATGCTTGTCCTTTTCTCTTTCTCATGTCCTGGCTCTCAAGGAATCTCACCGCCAGGACGTAACCAAGAGAAAGAGAAACAGGAAATAGATATGTGGCCCAGCAGATGAAAGAGGCTGGGGTTTAAGGGAGTTAACGACCGGGATGTGTGTGGGTTAACCGTTCCCTTTGGTCACATCTTTATTACTTCCCACACACCATTATCCCTTGAATAGACAATAAGCAAACATGTAAAATGTTTCTTAATAATAATTATGTATTGAAGGCGGGTCGTAAAAGGAGGTTATGATTTCATATGATTCGATAAGTGGCAATGATTAGTTCGTGGATTCAAAAATGGGCACCATGAGCCATGAACCGCTAGTGAGACTGTAAAACATGAGAGTCCTCGCCCAAACACAACTGCCATGCTAGGACCCTCACACGTGGTAATCACTGGCTAGTTTTGGACTAGCCGCAGCCCTCAACCACCTCCGCTGTTGCACAATGGGGTCTGTGGCTCCAGTATATGACCTAGCACGGCACTCCCACTCAGTATTCGAGGCGATCCTGCTTTTGCATGACATTACGACTGTTGCAATCTTACATGACCATGGCGCACAATACAAAAGTCAGCAAAAACCTGCCACGCAACACATGCAGACCCCAATTCAAGAGGCGCTTCTAACCCCTGATTTCAGCAGGCGGCCCACCGCAAGACTCCGAGCTCGGCGCTTCCCGCGGCTCGGATCCCCAGGGCTGGGCGCCCCGGCCTGGCCCTGCAGGGCCCAGTTCAGCCCGTGGCCCTTGTCGTCCGGACCTCCGATCGCCTCCTCAGTCGATGCCGCGCCGAAAAGGTCCAGCTTAAGCTAGGGGCGGCTTTTTGATCGGAAAGATGGACTCAAACCAAAGGGGTCTGCAGCCCTCCTTTGGAGAGAAGCCGCGATGTTGCGGAAGGTTTGGCTTGTTTGGTGGTCAAAAAAAGGGGGTCGGCATGCCGTGGTCAAAACTGCATCAACATATGATTGCCATGGTGTCATGGGTCGCGCAAAAAAAAAACAGGACCGAGTAAAGGGGTCTGCAGACCATAACATGGCTGGCTAGTGGCTGGCGGTCTTTGAGCAGTGTTTGTCGTGGCAAGTTCCTTGAAGCAGAGCAACACCAGCACCAAATTGGCGCGACTCCCATTGCGGCTGAGTACCTTCGTCTTACCCAAAATGCTGAATTCGAGGAAACACCCACTGAGGCGCACGGCCAAATGATTGGCCTTGGGACTCATAGGGTGAAGCACCTGCAAGGCGTTGAGGAAACGGAAACAAACCGCCATGGCTCCGGTGGCCGGCCGATTCCTTCGGCTAGCACGGAACCTGACCTGTCCTGAATCATTTTCTCTACAGGGACGTTAGGGTTCCCTGTTAGTCTGGAGGATACTCATCTCCTGCCTATTGAGAGTGCTCTGCGCGCGCCTGGGCCCAGTCCCTGTTCCGTAGAATTTGGAACTCGCCACCTCCACGCCAGAGCCTGAGCCGCTCAGGTCTCAGGGAAGGTCATCCCTTGTGCTTTCCTAGTGGATCCATGGGGATCCCTGGGTTCGTTCACTTGCCCCTGCTGCTTCCCTGAGAAGCTGGATCCAAACTGTGGGCACGCTTTTCACGCTGGCGCGCCAATGAAACACAAGGACCTTTGCAGGAAAGGACATGCATTGTGGCAACCCCCCCCCCCTTCCCCCACAGAAGCTGACTGCAGCGCGTGTCGATGTGAACATTGAAAAATGTTTGGGCTTCCCAATGTCCGGAACATGGTTTTGGGGGGTGAGAACTGACTAAGGTGTCAGCCGTTGGTGGAATTGCCCACTGTGGCACCAATACCAGGGGGGCTGGGGGGGATGGAGGGGAGGTGGGGGATGGAGGGGAGGTGGGGGATGGAGGTGAGGGGGAGAGGGAGACCCTTACGGCCTTAAGGGCCTAAGTTGGTTTTTCTTTGGACTCCCCTCCCCCCCTCCCTCCTTCCCAGCCAATCGAGGTCCTTTGGTCTCTGAGTTCCCTGCACCGCCGTGGTGCCGTACGTCCCAGGCTCAGCTGGAGTCATCTCCTGGAGGTTCCAGTCCTAAGGACTAAAAATGCGGCGTTCCGCGGCTCAAGTTCAGCTTGGCTCAAAGGGCAAACCAAGAGAAACACCAGTCTTTCTTTCTTTTTTTTCGGGGGGGGGGGTCCGATTCCCGATTTTCGACGCATTGGAAGTTCCAACCCCAAGCGGCCACGCGCCACTTCGCCGGGAGCCAACCTGCACCTCCCGAAGCCCTGCCAGGAGCCAAAGCGATCGATCCCTTCGAGGTCCGAACGTTCCAGGATCCGGCGATGTAGAACTGACCTTGTTGCGTCTGATCTTGCTGCAAGAACTCACCGCCCAACTCTCGCCCTACGATTTGTTAGGAGAAATCAAGTGATCTTTGCGGATAGGACAAGTTGGGCTATGAGCATGGTCACAGGCCCGGGCTTATTCTCTCCTGCACGAGCTGGTCTGATATCCGCGCCTGGCTGTGCCACACGCCCCAACACGCGGGCACAAGACTCCCTGCCAAGCCGCCAGCACCACCACGCCGCCATCGACATCGGCATTTTCAGCAGCCACCACGATGTCATCATCATCATCATCATCATCATCATCATCATCATCATCATCATCATCATCATCATCATCAGGCATCAGGCAAATCATGTTCTGCTGGCCAAGAAGACGTGGCGATTGGATGCTTCAAAGTCATGCTCCCATGGAGGTCCATTCATCAAAGTAAACGGCGGATGAAAGTTGCCACCCTCTTGGAAGACACCTCTTGCCAGTCGTCATCGGGCGAACCTGCGAAGCCGGCGCGCGCCGGGATCCTCTTCCGACGGCTCGGGGCGGCCTGCGGATGCCCTGCCGGCAGCTTCTCCCAAGTCACCTCGAGGCGAAGCGTCGCGCATAACTTTTTGGTTCTGCCAATGTGGTTGCCATCACTTCTCACTAAGGCGACGGATTCCCGTGGGTACCTGGCCCTAAACCCCCACTGTCCACAACCGGCGACTCATCGATGCGACCCATCGGCGATCGGCGAGGGGCAAGCTCTTCGGGCACCATTGCTTTGGGCGGGAAAGGATTCGAAAGGCGAGTCAGCTAGGGTCTTTTTGGGGGAACAAAGGGAGGGGGTTAGAAAGTTGAACCCCATGATCGATTGCTTTGGAGGGGGCAAACCGATTTTCCCGAATCAGTGAATCGACGAAAATGGATGGCTGGTCATGAACCCATGCACTGACCGAATCACCTAAGGACCTAATCAGTTCCACAGGTTGTAATAAAATTCTACAAGCCCCTTCAAAACATCGCTTTGGTTGCCCTGTTGTCGAACGTGATCAATTTATGAGTGGGTGCCAATGAAACCGCGACTTCAGGTCATTGAGGTCCGAAAAAAGCAAACTGAGAAAGCCCTGAACTACTCCACACCTTGTGGCTCTGTTGGTTGATTTGTTTTCGTTGCTGTTGAGGAATAGTCGCAAAGGGTGGTTTTTGGTTTCCTGGGCTACAATCGTGGCCTACCTTCCATCATCAACACATGAAAGCTGACAAGAAGCTGCGCAACAATGATGCCCTCCATGTGTTCTTGGAAAAAGGGCATAAAGCATTTTCCCTCACAACCTGCAAACGGCTTTGCACTGTGTATTTGCAGAGCAATGTTGATATTCC